TTCGATTAACCCTTTGACTGTTTCCGACGTATAAATACGTCTTACGAGCCAATGTTTCTGACGTATTTATACGCACAAATTCTAGCGGCTTCAAATCGAGCGCCAAAGGCCTGATAGGCCTACACGGGAGAGAATGGGTCTCAGTGGTCGGTGTGCACCCTGTGAAAAAAATCTGGGACCTAGCGGTGCATTGTGGGAACCCCATGTTGTCAGTCCATTTTCACCATGCCTCTCGGTAAGAAGTTCCTCACTCCTCGGCGGATTGGAGGTCTTTTGTTCCCAAGTGATAGCTCTAACAGCGATGAAAGTGTCATTAGACAGTGAATTCCAAGGGTTGTCAAGTGAGTGTTACCGAAAAAGTGCCAGGATAACGTAAAATAGGTGACGAAAACCCAGATGCACCCAAACTTCGACCTCTGGTGCTGTGCCGGCTTGTTTCACGTTCACGTTGCATGTACCAGGACGAAGAGGAAAACTATTTTGGTCGTGGTACAACACCCTGATGATAGCAGTGATAGTGATTAGATGTAGTGAGATAGTGATTTTCAAGGTCATTGAAGCAGTTCTAGTGGACAGTGAGAGTGAATATTCCCAGTGAAGCGCCAGTATGTACGAGTTTTAGTTAGATGCGGTCTGGTAGTGTTTCAATATGTTGTTCCAAGGGGGGAAGGAGAAACTTGGGAGCACATTCCGTGGCCCAACACCACGACCTGATAAGTGAAGGATGACGATATTGTACCGATGGGTATGATGTGAAAACAGTGAGGGGAGGGGCAGTGGTGGTGATAGTGGGGTGGCACGGCCCATGTTTTTTTTTCCCCCCCCCCACCCCCCTTTTTTTTTTTATTGTTTCTACTCCTCCCCCCTTTTTTTTTGTTTTCTGGCACCAATACCGGGCCCACAGCTACTAGCCACGCGGCTGACTCATGCTGAACAACAGCTCACCCTACCCCACACGTGCCACAACTGCACCTCCACAACCTGCACAGCCACAACCACAACGCCCAACCAGGTACAAATTTCCCAACCCAACCAGCAGACCGCATCTGGGATTGGCAGGACGGTGAGAGTTTGTTTCCCAGTCCCCATGACTTTGATTGAAACACAAAGTGGAAATAAAGCCATCTTGTCCACTTGGGAACATTGCGTGAACTGGGACTGCTTTGAGTTATTCTTCCGATGAACCCCTGATGGACATCATGGTCAGGGAAACCAACACATACTGTGTATACACCATGGCAAATACAATTCTCTCACCAAAATCACGGCCTACACAGTGGAAGGAGACAAACTGTGGCAGAGAGGTACCTGTTTCTTTGCACAATAATGCTTATGCCACATGTGTATAAGCGCACTGTCACCACATACTGGACAACATTACTGATCGCTGATTTCAACTTCAGGTTTTAGTACATTATAGGTGTTCACATCGTTTTCATGATACTGTTGCGTATGTTACACTTTCAGAACAAAACCAGGCCTGAAAGAAGCGGACAGGTTATTAAGTGATAAGAAATGGTTTATGTACATGAAACAAAAGTGTGCTGCATGTATATTTTTTATCCCTTCAGGATGCTTGTATTGATGAGTCCCTGATTTTATTCAAAGGAAGGACTCTCATTCAAGCAGTATTACCAAGCAAGAGGAAACGCTTTGGACTAAAGCTTTTGTGACTGTGTGATTGCAGATTAGTGGTCTTGTTTTAGATATTATTGTGTACACTGGCAGTAATCTTGGAGGTACCATGAAGTTATTGGGTATCTTGGTGATGTTGGTTCGAACAATGATGGGAACATTCTGGTTAGGGGCATTGTTATTTATGTTAACTGGTACACAAGCCCCTTACTCAGTGATTTCTTGCGAGTGTACTTGACTGACGGTGTGATGGCACAAAGTGCGTGGTAATCGCAAAACATTTGCAAGGTTCGACGCTGGCACTCGCAGAGGTGAGGTGCAAGCCTTTGCTGCCAATGACCATATGGAATTTCGTGGCTGGCATGGACAAAGTGATGTCACATTGTTGACATCAGTTCACACAGACGAAATGGTACCCAGTTGCAGGGACAACAGAGGACCAATAACCATTCTAAAGCCTGCAGCTGTCTGGACCTACAACCCAATATGCGTTAGTGGACAAATGTGACATGCAGATTGGGTTTGCAGACTGTGTACGGCAAGAGTTATTAGTGGTATATCAAACTTTTTTTATCTTGTTGATTTCTCTATGTAACATGTTATAACTTATACATGTGAAGACCCAACAAAACACCAAAAATAGGGTGAATTTTAGCCTGTCAGTAATCAGACAAATAAATTGCAAAAGTACAAGGAGAACTCCTGCAATAGTCCAGCGCCCACAGACGTCATTCTCGTTTGTGGCCTGGTGATCACTACCATACAAATGCCTCTATACTGCCAAGAAAAATGTCAGAGAGGTGTTGTGTATGAATGCATACCACAAACGCCCACAAACACGCAGAGACACTGTTTTAGTGTGAGGAGTGTTGAAGTGCCCCTCTGCATATACCCATGTTTCAAGAGTTCCAAATCTGCAGCAGTTCTAGGAACGGGGTTAGTGCTGTACATATGTATAATATTATGGAAACAATAGTATAAACATTGTTTTGTATTGTTTGATTTGTGTAAACAAAGTGTATACACCAACTAATAGTGATAAAGTTTGTTCTGTTATGTGTTGTAAATATGAGTGTATATTTGAACATGCACCTTACATGTCTCACAGGCCACATAAGTTACCTGAAAAGAAAAATATTGAAAAAGCAAGGGAAACCTTGAATTTAGAGTTAAATAAAATGAATTTCGGTTGGTGGGCGGCAGTCGCCGCTTTGCCGTACGCAACGTTCAATTTCTGCAAACTTTGCGGCTCTATTATCTCGTGTTAAGTACTGATGGCAAAAATTTTTTTTAGGCTTAAAAACACTAGTAAAAATATTCCTACATTTTCATAAGAAAAAATAATTTTTTTTTTTTCGAATATTTGGCGACTTAGAATGACGTTCAGAGAGGGCCCTGAAACTGTCAAAGGGTTAAAACATCGATTTGCAGTGTTTTTTCATATGTTTTTTTAAGGTGTATGTGCGATTCTTGAGTCTTCATTTGTGATAGATGGAAGACATATTACAGATATGGAGATGATTTTTGATTGGAGTTTTAGCACTGCAAATGGCTTGAACTGAGCTCAAAGTAGCGGAAATGATTAAATTTTTGTCGAGTTCAAGAGTAAACAAAACGACCCTCACACATCTAATACATGCCACGCTGGTGGGTCTGATATACATCACAAAGGTGGTGATGATATTTATACAATTATTACATATGCATAACAGTAAATCTTCTATTTTTTGGTTTGAATAAAAATTCATGTGAATAAAAAATCAAAATGGAATTCATTTGTTAAGCCTCAATACATGAACAGAGGAAATGTTAGTTTAGTGTAGGGATAAATACTCACATTGTTTTATTCTGGACCCTATGTTGAAATTGGAATATTTTGAACTTTGTGCCCCTAAATTGGGTCAATTACAATTTTCGATCACTTTATTTTGTAGTTGAAACAGTTGACCTTGGTGATTTCTTGTGCTCAATCGATAGAATAGAAGTAATACTAGTGAAATAGCTAAGAATTTGGTCGACTGGAATAATGTAATTGACCTAAAATGTGAGTCAAATTCGGCAAAATCGCCGATTCATAAATATCGCTGACACATCAAAATTCACGAGAGCATAATTTTGTCAATTTTCCATCAAATTTCATACTTTTTGTTCTATTACCTTCAGAAAAAGATTCTCTACCATTTCATAAGAAAAAATAACAACATTTTTTTTTTTTAAATTCTTGGACCCTGGTGCACACTTTGAAATTTGGCCTCTGGACCCTGAAAGGGTTAATGAACAGAAAAAAATTTTAGTTTTATTGCCAGGAATGTCTACCACACTCATCTTGCAACCCTTCAGCATAAAAATTTTATCACTGGATACAACCAAATCTTCATAAGCCTAAATTAATTTCAAGAACAGTGATTAAAGATGAAACACAATTTAGGGCAAGTTTAGTGCTTTCCCTAAGTGCAGTAAAATGCTACCAATTAAAGCAACACAATTTTGGATCTTTTGTCATTTTTACTGTACTTAATTGTACTTGGCTTATTCTGGAACCCTGGAACCATCTCTCTGGTACAAGACAGTCCCTCTGACTGTACTTGTATAGCTCTGCTGCCACTTGCTAGATGTATTATCATGCATGAACACAAGACCTTAAAATTATGCTTTTTCTTTATTTTTTTGCTCTACACAGGTCTTTTTTTTTTTATTTTAACACACCGGCCGTATTCCACCGAGGCGGGGTGGCCCAAAAGGAAAAACGAAAGTTTCTCCTTTTACATTTAGTATATATACGAAAGGGTTACTGCCCCTTGCTCCTGGCATTTTAGTCGCCTCTTACAACATGCATGGTTTACGGAGGAAGAATTCTGTTCCACTTCCCCATGGAGGTAAGAGGAAATAAACAAGAGCAAGAACTAGTAAGAAAATAGAAGAAAACCCAGCGGGGTGTGTATATATATGCTTGTACATGTATGTGTAGTGTGACCTAAGTGTAAGTAGAAGTAGCAAGATGTACCTTGAAACCTCCACAAGCCCTGTCATGTTTGTGAGACAGAAAAATGGACACCAGCAATCCTACCATCATGTAAAACAATTACAGGCTTTCGTTTTACACTCACTTGGCAAGACGGTAGTACCTTCCTGGGCGGTTGCTGTTTACCAACCTACTACCTAGCTCTACACAGGTATTTGATATAAATGTTTGAAATTTAGGGAGCAAGGGGCTAGTAACCCTTTTTGTATACATTTTTAAGTTAAAAAGAGAAACTTGTTTTACTTTTTGGGCCACCCTGCCTTGGTGGGTTGCAGCCGGTGCATTGAAAGACGAAGTTTGAAATTTATTGTAGACTGGTGTTATTGTAGTTTACTTTTTGCAGATAGAAGCAAACCCAAATTTCCAAACTTACTCGGCCACTCCAAAGAGCAAAGCACTGGCATCAAATGATCCATTTGCAGAAGATGAGGATGAAAACGATTCACTATTACCGACACTAATTTTCCGTGAAACTGCCCTTCATCGAGCCATCAGAAACAATAATGAAGGTGATATAAGAGCAATCTTGGATCACAAAGGTAAGATGTTGAAGGTATTCCTAATATGATATTATAACATATGTTAATCCAACTCTGATTGATATTTAACATTAATGTAATTATGATCTTGCAACATACATTGTGCCAGCTCTGATTGATATTTAACATTAGTGTAATTTAACAATAATTTGAGGATTGCTCTGTAGCTTTGCATGCATGCATATATGCACATGCATACATCCGGGCGCACACACACACACGCACACACACACACACACACACACACACACACACACACACACACACACACACACACACACACACACACACACACACACACACACACACACACACATGCACGCATGAATGAACAAACAAACGAACAAGGCTTGTGGGCACAATGTGAGTGTGCAGGTAGCTCACTGCCTGCTACATGGTGTACTGCCTTTATTGAACATCATGGTGTTCATGTGTTCTGTGGTGTCACAAGTGATGGACTTATCAATTTGGTACATGACAGGAATCCTCTGATATAATCTCCAATCTTCACATCACACAAGTTTAATAAAAACAGTGGAACCATCACAACCTGGTGTGATTTACATATACACTTTTATTTGTCTGGACCCTCCTACCCAGCTCTGGACTAAGTGTTAGGGCCCCACCTGCAGAAGTCTTTGGTCTGATCTTCATAAATGTAATAATTTACAAGTTTTTTTTTTTTTTTCAATAAGTCGACCGTCTCCCACCGAGACAGGGTGGTCCAAAAAGAAAGAAAATCCCAAAAAAAGAAAATATTTTCATCATCATTCAACACTTTCACCTCACTCACACATAATCACTGTTTTTGTAGAGGTGCCCATAATACAACAATTTAGAAGTAAATACGTATAAAAATACACAATATACCACCCCTCCAAACTGCCAATATCCCAAACCCCTCCTTTAGAGTGCAGGCATTGTACTTCCCATTTCCAGGACTCAAGTCCGGTTATATAAAATAATCGGTTTCCCTAAATCATGTAGATAGACAAAAACAGTTCATCACATGTCAATGTTTTACTCATATTTACTTATGCTTGAGAAGAATATATAGTGGGAACTCATTTTGTTCTTCACATCCATTGTAATGTTCCTATCTCTCATAGGTGTAAGTCACCAAATCCTTTCGGGAAAAAGGCAGAGGAGACAGAGTTGCCTGAATTTTGCATAATGGCAAACAGTGCCTGATAAAAGAGAAATTTAGTGAAACTAGTGTATACGGTACAGGATCATCATAAGTGTCCATATCCAAAAAGAAAATTTTAAACATTAATGGACAAATCAAATCATGAAAATGACTTAATGTCTCAATCACCAGGAGGGAGGGATTGCTTGTTGTGCAGTGCCACTGCTGCATCTAAGTAACTCAGTGCATTCAAAAAAACATTAAACTCAAAGAATATTTCAACTTGCAGTTGATTCTGTCGGGGTGTATTCATCTGGTATACTTACTGATTTCCAGACACAAAATAAGCATTGAGAAAATGCTTGTGTTCATACACTGTAGTAGAATGAACTAATTCTTGCAGTCATAGCAGTGGTTAGCAATGTTTTTCCATCATTGCTCACTTTCAGTGTTTGAATGCCAACCACCATACAAGTTTTATATAAAAGTATAGTACAGTGGAACCTCAGTTTTCGAGTTTAATTCGTTCCAGATGTTGATTCGACAACCAAAATCAATGACAACCAAAGCAGTTTTTCCCATAATTTTTTTTTTTTTTTAACAAGTCGGCTGTCTCCCACTGAGGCAGGGTGACCCAAAAAGAAATTACTTTCATCATCATTCAACACTTTCACCTCACTCACACATAATCACCATTTTTGCAGAGATACCCAGAGTACAACAGTTTAGAAGTATATACGTATAAAGATACACAACATGTCCCTCCAAACTGCCAATATCCCAAACCCCTCCTTTAAAGGGCAGGCATTGTACTTCCCATTTCCAGGATTCAAGTCCGTCTATATAAAATAACCATGTTCCCTGAATCCCTTACTAAATATTACAATGCTTCACATCCAACAGCTCGTAAGGTCCCAAAATACCAGTTGTCTCCATTCACTCCTTATCTAACACGATCACGCAAACACTTGCTGGAAGTCCAAGCCCCTCGCCCACAAAACCTCCTTTACCCCCCTCCCTCCAACGTTTTCGAGAACACCCCCTACCTTGCCTTCCTTTTCTTACAGATTTATGTGCTCTCCAGTCATTTTACTTTGGATCCATTCTCTCTAAATGACCAAACCACTCAACAAACCCCTCCTTTCAGCCCTCTGGCTAATACTTTTATTAATCCACACCTTCTCCTAATTTCACACTCCGAATTTTCTGCATAATATTTACACCATTACATTGCCCTTAGAAAGAACATCACTACCTCACAGCCGGCCTCTCACTGACAGATTTACACCAAAGCTTCAACACCCATATAAGTGTGTTGGTATACTATTCTTCATACATTTCCTTCTTTGCCTCCATAGATTACATTTTTTGTCTCCACATATACCTTAATGCACCACTCACCTTTTTTTCCTTCATCATTCTATGATTAACCTCATCCTTCATTAAATCCATCCGCTGACATGACCGACAACTTGGAGTTTCTGGAGTTTTTAGGGAGAGAGTTCCGGGGGTCAACCGGCCCCCGCGGGCCCGGTCTGTGACAGGGCTCCTTAGGTCGTGTCCCAGGATGCGGACCCACAACCAAGTCGACTAACACCCAGGTACCCATTTTACTGATGGGGAACATAGACAACAGGTGGAAAGAAACACGTCCAATGTTTCTACTCTGGCTGGGAATCGAACCCAGGCCCTCACCGTGTGAAGCGAGAGCGTTAACCACCAGGCCACCAGAGCCCCTAAAAGAATAATGATCCTTCCGCATATCCAAATATCTGGAAACATTTATGTACTTCTTCCATACTCCTCCTCCCCAATTTGATATCCAATTTTTCTTTATCTAAATCATTTGATACCCTCATCACCTTATCTTTTCTATGTTCACTTTCAACTTTCTAACCGTTACACACACTCCCAAAAAAAAAATTCGTTCCATAACCTTGCAATTTTTCTTTAGAATCTCCCATTAGCAACAGTATCATCACAGACAAAAAGTAACTGTGTCACTCCTATTTTGTATTTGATTACCTTAATTTAATCCACCCCTCTCCGATCGCCTAGCATTTACTTCTTTTACGACCCCATCTATAAATATATTAAACAACCATGGTGACATTACACATCCCTGTCTAAGACCTACTTTTACCGGGAAGTAGTCTCCCTCTCTTCTACACACCCTAACCTGAGCCTCACTATCCTCATAAAAACTCTTAACAGCATTTAGTAACTTACCACCTATTCCATATACTTGCAACATCTGCCACATTGTTCCCCTATCCACTCTATCATATGCCTTTTCTAAATCCATAAATGCAATAAAAACTTCCTTACCTTTATCTAAATACTGTTCACTTGATCCACACATCCCCTACCCACTCTAAAACCTCCTTGCTCATCCACAATTCTACATTCTGTCTTACCTCTAATTCTTTCAATAAAAACTCTACCATACACTTTTCCTGGTATACTCAATTAAATTTATTCCTCTATAATTTTTACAATCTCTTTTGTTCCCCTTCTCTTATATAAAGGTACTATACACACTCTCTGCCAATCCCTAGGTACCTTCTTCCTCTTTCATACATTTATTAAACAAAAATACTAACCGTTCCAGATCCCAAATGACATAATAAAATGTTAATAATGTTCTAACTATGTGGGGAAACTTGAATGATAAGACCTGCTGCTAGCATGTTATAAGAAATTCATGACAATAAGGAGGGGTACAGCTCTGACCCTCCTGTAGCCGCAGTTCAAAGGATCTCCTTCGAAGAAGCTGTATTCACCCACTGTGGCTGTTGATGATGAATAACCAGGTTTAAATCTTCACCCTAAAGAATATATATTCCAGTATAATAGATTACCTGGAATATAGTGGGCTACTCATACCTGTTATTAGGTGTTGGCTCTTACATCACTGCCTAGTAAGAGTAGCCCTATTCACCGTGTGTCAACCTACACACTGCAGTATATGTCAGGTTGATGCAAGTGAAAATAGGATCTACCTAGCTCATGTAACAAGAGCTTGTGGCATTGACTGCACCACTTAGGCCAATATTGGTGTCTTGAATGAGGTGTCTTAAAACCACTCAATGTTTGATCAATGTTGAATGATAGAGTCACTCGGAAATGTGATGAATGGCTTTGAAAACTGACAAGTTGAAGAATTGAGACACTTATGCAACATATGGGAATCTTTATTGAAGAAACATTTTGCCACACAGTGGCTTCATAAGTTTAATACAATGTAGAAATGGGTAAGGAGAGGAGGAGTTTGAGGTAATCAGTCCCTCAGCCTGGAATCGATGTGTTCAGTCCATCACTCTTGTAGGAAGTATAGCATAGGGCCAGAGAGGTGGCTTATATACTGCAATCAGGTGAGTAGAGGAAGGGAATAGAGAGTGTACAATAATACTTATTGTCTGCAACTTCTGAATTATGAAATAAATATTACATGATGGCTCAGTTGTCTTCTGAAGTATAATTTACAGTAATTTTACTTATCTTTTTGTAATGAAAATATGAAGTGTAAACTGATGTGATTAATAATTGTGACTCAAATAAACTTTTGTTCAGAGTTGAAGGAACTGTAAAGCTCTGCTAGTGAAAATAATGTAGATAGCTGAGAAGACTTACTTTAGAAGCCATTGTTAATTACACAAAATAATTTATACAAAATACTCTAATTCCGGGTAAGATTAGACGGAATGATGAGTGTGTGCGTGAGTAAGTGCAAAAAATAAACTGGCATAGCCGACCTATGCCTCAAGGAAGAGTGAAAACAGACAGGTCCTGGATGTGGCCACTTTGGTCTCTACCAGACAAATGTTGGAGTTAGCAGATTGGCTTGATACTTCAGAAGACAGCTGGACACTATCACTGTGGACAGAATTTGGAATTAGACTTCTGTTCATTTTCTCCAATAATTAGAGTGTGTCCAAAATTATTGAAATCCATTAATGAGGAGATTTTACAGTATTTTAATTTTCTTCCATTTTGGCTGAATGTGGAGCATCTTTGAGGCAGTTGGCCTGATATCAGCACACTTCCCTTCAGCCTTCCCACCCTTCCAACCTTTGTTCATCCTTCTTTTCATAATTCTTTTTTAGTGATTTATTCATCTTCTGAATCCTGCAGTTGTGTACTTTTATTTTCTTCTTTTTTTTCAGAATACTGTGAAAGTAACAAAGTGGATTTTGCGTTGATTCCCGACCTAAACCTTCGAGACTCATGCGATCTGACAGCATTAGGAGTGGCTTTAGGTAGTGGCCATCTGACAGTTGCAAGACATCTCTTAAAAGCTGGTTCTGATATCAACACTACTGACTCTCAAGGTCTCAGCCTGCTACACATTGCTATCCAGCACAAGGATAAACAAGTGACAACCTTTCTAATCAACAATGAAGCAGATGTCAATCTTAGGTTTGTTACTGTTTCATGCTTACATATTTCACAGAATAACTGATAATAGTATTAGAATAATTATAATATGTATAAGGGAGATTGAACAGTAAGATGAACCATCTGGTGGTCCATTTGATGGCTGTCTGACAGCAGAAATGTTACTGGAGGTTACTGAAAGTATACAACTTCTGTCAGTCTTTCCAGTTCACACTTGTCTGTTTGCTAAATAATGCTAGTGCCTCTGGTGCTCTGTTTAAATAACCAGTTTTTCTTTGCCTTCCTCTAATTTTGGGAAACCCATCCTTTGTTTGGGCAGGGTAGCAAAGCAGTATCAAGAAAAATTGGCACTGCCTGTCATGTTGGCTGGTGGTATAGGGACTAGTGATGGAGGTTTGGATTCTTTTAATTAGGCAACTAGATTACTGTAATTTCCTCTTCTACTTAGCTATCCTCTCACATTAATTCATATTTCTTTAGGCATGGCCCCCTTCCCTGGTTCCTGTGCAGAAATGTCCATTCATAATGGTCATGGCATAGAAAAATTCATTGGAAATTATCTGGAACCAGTCTCTGGCAGGTTCTTGGCTCCAGAGGGTGAGACTCGGGCCATCCCTTTTGACAGTTATGTAGCAAGTAGCCCAGTGCCAGATTCAGTATAGTTGTGTGGCATCTTACTTACAGGCTGCAGACATAGTGATGATTTTGGTGGGACTATCCAAGTGTTAGTCTCTTCTTCTTTTTTTTTTTTTTTTTTTTTTTTACCCAAGGCAGGGTGGCCCAAAAAGAAAAATGAAAGTTTCTCTCTCTTTTTTTTTTTTTAAACAAGTCGGCCGTCTCCCACCGAGGCAGGGTGACCCAAAAAGAAAAAAATCCCCAAAAAAGAAAATACTTTTATCATCATTCAACATTTTCACCTCACTCACACATAATCACTGTTTTTGCAGAGGTGCTCAGAACACAACAGTTTAGAAGCATATATCTATAAAGATACACATATCCCTCCCCGAACCCCTCCTTTAACCCTTTGACTGGGCTCCTTTCTGAAACTGTCATTCTATGTCGCAAAATATTCAAAAAAATAAAAATTTTTTTTCTTATGAAAATGTTAAGATTATTTTCCTGAGTGTTTTAGTCCCCAAAAAATTTTTTGCCATCAGTACTTACTGAGATATAGAGACGTGAAGTTTGCAGAAAATGAGCCGTGTATGGCAACAGCGGTGACTGCCTCTCACCCGGTAAACTTTGGTTTACTTGTAATTGAAGGTTTGTTGTTTTTTTCACTATTTTATTTTTTCACTTAACTTACGTGGCCTGTGAGACCAAAGTAAGGTGCAATGTACATATATACACTCGTTGTATACAACACAATAAGCACACAAACATAATTATCAATATATTGTTTACAAAACTTTTTTTTTTTTTTTTTTTTCAACAAGTCGGCCGCCTCCCACCGAGGCAGGGTGACCCAAAAAAGAAAGAAAATCCCCAAAAAAGAAAATACTTTCATCATCATTCAACACTTTCACCTCACTCACACATTATCACTGCTTTTGCAGAGTTGCTCAGAATACAACAGTTTAGAAGCATATACGTATAAAGATACACAACATATCCCTCCAAACTGCCAATATTTACAAATATTTACAATATTTACAAAAACAGAATACAAATTTTTTTTTATTACTATTGTTCTATAATATATATACCAATGTACAGTCACCGAACATAATCCTAGAAGTTCTGCAGCTTGTGGAACTCTTTGAAACATGTTTTCATACACAATGATGTTTTACACTCCTCACACATAAAACCAGTGTGTGTGCATTTTTGTGGACTTTTTTTTATGTGAAAAGACAAAACACCTCATCTGAGCAGTTTTCTTCAAAGTATTAGCAGGCAGTTGTGTTATGTAGTTTTTTTTTTTTTTTTTTTTTTTTTTTTTTTTTTTTTTTTTTTTTTTTTTTTTTTTTTTTTTTTTTTTTTTTAACAAGTCGGCCGTCTCCCACAGAGGCAGGGTGACCCAAAAAAGAAAGAAAATCCCCAAAAAGAAAATACTTTCATCATCATTCAACACTTTCACCACACTCACACATTATCACTGGTTTTGCATAGGTGCTCAGAATACAACAGTTTAGAAGCATATACATATAAAGATACACAACATATCCCTCCAAGCTGCCAATATCCCAAACCCCTCCTTTAAAGTGCAGGCATTGTACTTCCCATTTCCAGGACTCAAGTCCGACTATATGAAAATAACCGGTTTCCCTGAATCCCTTCACTAAATATTACCCTGCTCACACTCCAACAGATCGTCAGGTCCCAAGTACCATTCGTCTCCATTCACTCTTATCTAACACGCTCATGCACGCTTGCTGGAAGTCCAAGCCCCTTGCCCACAAAACCTCCTTTACTCCGTCTCTCCAACCCTTTCGAGGACGACCCCTACCCCGCCTTCCTTCCCCTATAGATTTATATGCTTTCCGTGTCATTCTACTTTGATCCATTCTCTCTAAATGACCAAACCACCTCAATAATCCCTCTTCTGCCCTCTGACTAATACTTTTATTAACTCCACACCTTTTCCTAATTTCCACACTCCGAATTTTCTGCATAATATTTACACCACACATTGCCCTTAAACAGGACATCTCCACTGCCTCCAACCATCTCTCCGCTGCTGCATTTACCACCCAAGCTTCACACCCATATAAGAGTGTTGGTACTACTATACTTTCATACATTCCCTTCTTTGCCTCCATAGATAACGTTTTTTGACTCCACATATACCTCAACGCACCACTCACCTTTTTTCCCTCATCAATTCTATGATTAACCTCATCCTTCATAATCCATCCGCTGACACGTCAACTCCCAAGTATCTGAAAAACATTCACTTCTTCCATACTCCTCCTCCCCAATTTGATATCCAATTTTTCTTTATCTAATCATTGTTACCCTCATCACCTTACTCTTTTCTATGTTCACCTTCAACTTTCTACCTTTACACACATTCCCAAACTCATCCACTAACCTTTGCAATTTTTCTTTAGAATCTCCATAAGCACAGTATCATCAGCAAAAAGTAACTGTGTCATTCCCATTTTGAATTTGATTCCCCAAAATTTAATCCCACCCTCTCCCCGAACGCCCTAGCATTTACTTCCTTTACAACCCCATCTATAAATATATTAAACAACCATGGTGACATTACACATCCCTGTCTAAGACCTACTTTTGCCGGGAAGTAGTACTCCCTCTCTTCTTACACACCCTAACCTGAGCCTCACTATCCTCATAAAAGCTCTTTACAGCATTTAATGACTTAACACCTATTCCATATACTTGCAACATCTGCCACATTGCTCCTCTATCCACTCTATCATATGCCTTTTCTAAATCCATAAATGCAATAAAAACTTCCCTTCCTTTATCTAAATACTGTTCACATATATGCTTCAATGTAAACACTTGATCTACACACCCCCTACCCACTCTAAAAACCCCCTTGCTCATCCGCAACCTACTTTCTGTCTACCCAAATTTCTTTCAATTAAACCCTCCCGTAACTTTTCGGGATATCTAAATAATTCCTCTTTAATTTTTAAAATCTTTTTTGTCCTTTTCCCCTTTATAAAAAGGGGGATATGATGCCTCTGCCAATCCTAGGTCCTTCCCCTCTTTCATACATTTATTAAAAAAAAGAAACCAACCACTCCAACACTATATACCCCCTTTGCTTTTAACATTTCTGTCATATCCCATCATTTCCAGCTGCTTTTACCCCTTTTTCATTCTCGTAATGCTCAGACCTCCCCCACATTACTTCTGTTTTTCTTCACCCCAAAAAAGATGGTATACCTCCTGCCCAGTGCATGAAATTACCCCTCTCTTTTTTTCCCTTTAAATTTTAAAAAGTTCCAAAAATTTTTTCCCCCCCATCTCCAAATACCACCATCTCCCCATCTACTAACTCCCCTATCTGTTTTCATGACAAATCCAACCCTTTCCCCTGGGCTTTCTTAACTTTTTTAAACCCCTAAATTTTTTTTATTTCATTAAAATTTTTTGACTTTCCCTTTCCCCCCATCTTTCATTGCTTCCTCTTGCACTCTTCACCCTCCTTCATCTTTCTTTTTCTTTTCCCTATACTCTGCTCTTCTTTTAAAACCTTTGCTTTGTAAAAAACCCCTCATAAGCTACCTTTTTCCTTTTTTTCACACCCTTTACTTCATAATTTCCCCAACACTCCTCTTTCCTCTCCCCCACCCTCCTTTAAAACCCCAAACTTCTGCCCCCCAAACTAATACTGATTTTTAAAATTTTTCCAACCCCCCTTCAACCCCCCCACTACTATCTTTGCCTAGCCCCCCTTTCTCCCAAAAGTCATTTTTATCTCACCCCAATTCTCCCCCCTTGTTTATACACTTTCCCTCCCTTTTACTTGTTGTTGCCACCTCCCCTTTTCCCATCACTCGTACTCTAACTGTAGCTACAACTAAATAATGATCGATATATAGTTGCCCCCCTTAAAAGTACATCCTGGACCTACCTCAAACCCTTTTTTCCCCCAATACATAATCTAATAAATACTATATTTCGTGCTACCATACCTTTTATTTTATTTTTCCTCTTTTTTAAAAAATATGTTTTTATTACCAAATCTTTTCTACCTACCAATTAAAGGCTCCCCCATTTCATTTACCCCCGGACCCCAAATTTAACTACTACTTTCCCTCCTAACTTTTTACCCACTTCATCATTTAAACCCCCCAACCACCCCTTACTCTCCACTTGATTCAAAAATCCCCGCATTCACTCAACTTTCCCAAAAACTCTCTTCCCCCCTCTACACTTCTCTCTTCTCCCGGGGATACAGCTTATTGTAACCCCCTTTTACTCCAATCTTTATTTTATCCCCATAAACCTTGAAATTATAATTTAGAGTCCCTTTTTCCTGCCAAGTTTTCCCTTTAACATTTTTGCTACTCCCTTTTTTCTTAACCTATTTTTTAAACCCCCGACCAATCCCATTTATTCCCTCCCCTTGAAACCTCCCACCCCCCTTTCCTTTGTTTACTTAAAGCCCGGG